TGGCCGTGCGCAACGACGAGGAGCTCAACAAGCTGCTGGGAGGGGTGACCATCGCTCAGGGCGGGGTGCTGCCTAATATCCAGGCCGTGCTGCTGCCCAAGAAAACCGCCGCTGGGGGCGCCGCTAAAAAGTGGGGAGACCGTTATTTTATCTGACGACCCAAAGGCTCTTTTAAGAGCCACCCACCGCGTCTGTGAAAGAAACTAGACTCTCACCACTGCCGAGTTAATTTTAATTTCCTTTGTATTACTGAGAGACCGTTAATACAATATTCACTCCGCCATTATTGTTATTGTTAATGAGCTATAATCGCCTGGACGGATTGTATCCATGTCGCAGCTTCCTGTAATTGCATTGGAAAGATCTGACACTGGTGGAGGAACACCAATAAATTTAGAAATTGGGAAACAATGACCCCGGTAGCCGCAAAGCGATTCAGTACAACAAGATGTGAAGCTGGATGAACACAGCAGGCCAAGCAGCATCAGAGGAGCAGGAAGGCTGACGTTTCGGGTCTCGACCCTTCAGAAAAATCCTGCCTCTCTGATGCTGCTTGGCCTGCTGTGTTCATCCAGCTACACACATTGTTCTCTGATTCTCCAGCATCTGCAGTTCCTACTATCTCTGAAGCGATTCAGTATCTCTTGACATGATGTTTTCGACCAGATAAAACTATTTGCAGTACTGTACCCCCTCCGCATATGCTGCCTTTCCTCTTCTCGGGTCTCCGCTCTCAATGTAGGGTTTTGGGTGGCTCTGAAGAGAGAATGGAGGTTGTATGTTTAGCACTGAAGCTGTTGTTGAACGTGTGCTGTATTTTGTGTTGAATGTTTGATTTAAAGATTTGCGATTGTTTAATTTCTTTTATTTCAACATTGGTTTTTTGATGAATAAGCTGAAACGAGTATTTAAAACAAACTAGTATCTAATCGATGGTTCTGGCGATTTAAGTCTAGGATTACTGATACCAATGTTCATGGACTAGAATTTAATCTAGATATGACTGTGAATTACAGGCTTCAATATCCTTTCGCAATTTAATGTTGTACTGTTTGCAATGCTCCCTAGGTGGCACTGTATCATATCACATACAATCACGAGTAAATAGTGAATATGAGACATACACCTGCACCCAGCGGTGAGATGGCAGTGAATTAATCCACCCATGAGCTTTATTTGATTACAATTCTCTTTTTCTTTTATTTTATATTTTAGACAATCGAGATTTGAAAGTCATAATAGGTTAGTATGGAATTGGAGCAACTGTTTATTTGTGGAATGAACTCAAATGATTGGCTGATGGAGTTTACATCAGGTAAATGTGAGATGCTACTTTTTGGAAAACCAAATCAGGCCAGAACTTGCACACCTTGGTGGGGAATGTTGCTGAACAAAGAGACGTAGTGCAGATTAATAGTTCTTTGAAAGTGGAGTTGCAGGTAGATGGGATAGTGAAGAAGGCGTTTGGTATGCCTGTCTGTATTGGTCAGTGCATTGAGTACGGAAGTTGGGAGGTCATGTTGCATCTTTACAGGACATCTGTTAGACCACTTTTGCAATACTGTGTGTAATTCTGGTATAACTACCTGCTGTACTATACTCCCTCTTTTACGAGCCACCCGCAGCATCAATGAAAAGCAGCTAGACCGTCACTCGTGACCTATTGGTTTTCTTTTTAGCACGAAGACCCGGGACTGTAACGAAACTGCTATAAATGAGGATTTTTGTATTTTTGAAGACTTGCAGAATGCGCCAAGATCAAGCTAGAACAGCTGGCTGGCTGGAATAGTAAATGTGGAGATTTTTGCAGTGCGGGACAGTGACATGTAAATAATAGCGGAATGCGGTGTCCCCAACAATACGCTGACAGGGAACAACATCATGGAATGCCTACATAGCAGAAAGATGCCATTGGAGTCTGAACCGACACTCCGAAGAGCATGTACCGAAGTAGACGAGAGGGAGAAGGGGAAAAGAGAGATTGTGTGTCCTAAACTTTAAAATCTTTTAAATGCTTTGGCGGGCTTTTGAAATTTACGGTTATAGCTGGGGAAACGCCGAGGTAGACAATGGGCGTACAGAGGCGTTTTATCGGCATTTCATAAACTTTTGCATACATGGAGTCCAGCACTTCAATTGTATTCTATGATTACTGCTAAAATCTCAACTTTTGGCCCTCGTTGACTTTTGTCTTTAAATGTGAATGAGTGTATCTCCTATGCCCATTCAGTCCATGTAATTGCTGCTGCATTGACAAACTGCAGCTTTAGTACGCTATGGGTTTATGTTAAAGAAGGTAATAAAGAACCGCTTGCTGTTCTCTCTGCCAATCATAAATCTCCTGTATACAAGGAACCTTCAATTATGTTCTGCGATCAATGTATAACCGCCAATTGAATTTTGTCTTTGAATTAACGTGACAAATGCTTTCCTCAGCCTGAATTTAATTTCTTCAATTACAGCCGAAACGACGCATTGCAATAAAAGAAAACCATGGGCGCATAGTAAAGTAACCAAGAGGGCCGACTGATTGCTGCTGTCTCTGGATGGTTTAGTAGCTCTGAAAAGAGCCGTTGTGTTTCTCGGGGATAACGTGCTGGGCCGGGCGCGCTCCCCGCCGATCCGGCAGGCCAGCTGGATGTCTTTGGGCATGATGGTGACTCGCTTAGCGTGGATGGCACACAGGTTGGTGTCCTCAAACAGCCCCACCAGGTAAGACTCGCTGGCCTCCTGCAGGGCCATCACGGCCGAGCTCTGGAAGCGCAGGTCGGTCTTGAAGTCCTGAGCGATCTCCCGCACCAGGCGCTGGAAGGGCAGTTTGCGGATCAGCAGCTCGGTGGGTTTCTGGTAGCGGCGGATCTCCCGCAGAGCCACCGTGCCGGGCCTGTAGTGATGAGGCTTCTTCACGCCGCCGGTGGCCGGAGCGCTCTTACGGGCCGCTTTGGTCGCCAGCTGCTTGCGGGGAGCTTTCCCTCCGGTGGATTTGCGCGCTGTCTGCTTGGTTCTGGCCATTCTCTCCAACTCTCTGTAACACACCTTTGGTCGCCAGCTGCTTGCGGTACAGAAGCAGCAGTCGGCTCTGTTATTCGATCATGGCTGATCTGTTTCTCAAAACTGATGTGCCTTCTCCCCTGATCTTTTGAACTTTTTTCTTGTGAATACATGTCTATCTCTGTCATAAAACCAGTATGTGTAGTTGGCTGCCCATACCATAAATATGGTGGGAGAGAAGACGGACAAGTCAAGGAGGCGAGGATAGAGTTTTGGGGGATGGGCTGGTATTAGGATGAGGCGTTAATGCCGACAACAGCCAAGTGAATGATCTGTTCTGCCTGTTCTCTCTCCTGGAACGCTGGGTACGAAATTTGTGTCTTTTCGAAAAGGATTGGTCCAAAATTAAAAGTTGTGAAAGATGTGAAATAACCAGCTGCAGTACGCTATACCCTCTCTTATGTGCTGCCTTCCCCGTGCTCAGGTCTCCGCTCTCAATCGGAGGGTTTGGGTGGTTCTGAAAAGAGCCTTTCTGCGCGCTGTCTGCTTGGTTCTGGCCATTCTCTTCAACTCTATGCAACACACTTGCAGGCTACTGCTATCAATGCTGAGTTTGTTGCGGTGCTGCCAATTTAAGGGAATGAAGAGCCTGCCTTCGAGCTGGCATTGGATACAGTCCCGTCCCTCAACCCACTGAGAAACAGCTCCTGGAGCTACAGAAAAGGTCATAAAATAATTGTTGGAAGCTGATTGGTTAACTTGAAATGACAGTTGGTCAATTTCAAATAGCCCGCCGATTTTACCCTCGCAATCCTGAGATTAAGTTAAATATTTAAAGGAAAAATAAAGTCCGACGACGATAAAGTCTTCTACTTTGTAGGATTTTTAAAAAACCTAGCTTGCACACAGCGCGACAGGACACGGGATTATTGTCTGAAACAGGCAGGAGAAAAGCGCGGGGTTTAATACAGCCCAAACTGATCAACCGAACGTGTAACAGCCGTTAATGAATCTAAACAATCCCGCCGATTTAAACATAATAAAAGCAAATATAGTGTACACTAATAAAGTTACGCAATCTCAATTTATCGGCACATTTTTATTCGACCCAGTTTATAATTTGTCCGAAAACAATTTGTCATTGCTACGTTTAGCAGCCAGATAGAAAGAACATGCTATTAAAATATCTGCAGGCGTCCCAGACTCAAAACTGAATCAGATATCATTCCTGGAGGGGTTAATGAAATAGAAATACTGGAATATGTAACATTTCGCATCTGGGCAGAATTACAAGTCGCGCTGTAAAATAACGAGCTGCAGTACAAGACACCCTCCCGCTGTGCTGCCTTTCCCCGTCCTCAGGTCTCCGCCCTCAATCGGAGGAATTGGGTGGCTCTGAAAAGAGCCTTTGGGTTCGCTGGAAAAGGGTCGATTTGCTCAGCCGCCGAATCCATAGAGAGTGCGGCCCTGGCGTTTCAGAGCGTATACCACATCCATGGCAGTGACCGTCTTGCGCTTAGCGTGCTCAGTGTAGGTGACCGCATCCCTGATCACATTCTCCAGGAAAACCTTCAGCACCCCACGAGTCTCCTCATAGATCAAGCCTGAAATGCGCTTGACCCCGCCACGTCGAGCCAGGCGCCGGATGGCTGGTTTCGTGATGCCCTGGATGTTATCACGGAGCACTTTGCGGTGCCGCTTCGCTCCGCCTTTTCCCAGGCCTTTACCTCCTTTGCCTCTTCCAGACATCACGCTCCTTCACTCCAATCGCTGCCGAATAAAAGTAGCGCTGCCTCACCTTCCTTTTTTATACAGCCCGCCCCGACCTGACTGAGAAACAGCTGACACAGAGTGAGAGGCGGCCCGGATAGTTAACAAAGTGACAGCAGAGAAATATCCAGCTCCGCCTCCAACTAACTCCCGCCCCCAAATGGATCTGTAATTAAACCTTTTCTCCACAAGGGCAGTGAGCATAATGCCCGGCAGAAAACCTGCAGACTCGAGTTTCACGTTCAAAGATTGTAAAAACTGGACATTTTAAAAGCAATTTATTACAATTAAGCACCCATGTCTCGGCCTTTCTTTAACAAGAAAACACGGCCGCTTCTATTTCAATTTCAGTTTCTATTCCTCCAGCTGAATCAGACTAAGGTATTTCTTGGAATTGTGTTGTGATGCGGGGTTACTGTGCCAGGGTTCCTCTCTTCGAGACTCTCTCCCTGAATATGTGAAAAGGAAACGGAGATGAACTGAAACTGCACCCGAACCGATGCTCAGTGACAGAGAGAGGGGGACCTCACATTGATAATTTGTAGAATGTGGGAGAGGGGCTGGATGGAAATCGGGGCACGGCCGTGTGTATTTGAGTTATTCAAATCAATTAATATCTAAGGTATGTCTATATTCGGAGCCGGGACAGGGATCATTTGAGACAACAAGGTGCAGGGCTGGATGAACACAGCAGGCCAAGCAGCATCATAGGAGCAGAGAGGCTGACGTTTCGGGCCTAGACCCTGATCCGGGATCAGCTCTTGCCTGAGAGATGTGGGTGGCTCTGAGAACAGCCTTTGGGTTCATGTGGTTACATGTTGTACAGACTGGTGGATTTCTTTGTTGCTTTCTTGGTCACTTTCGCTTTGGCCTTCACTTTATTGAGCACGGCCAGTGATTTCAATTGTATTTGCTCCTCCTGCCCTGATAGCGAACAGTAAATCTCA